ACAGAAACTGGGTGGAAGCTTAAGTTGACAGGAAATGTAAAAGCAAACAAATAAACAACGCCCTGCGCCCAAAATTTCAAAAAATAAATAAAAAAAGGAGCAAGGAAGTTTCTCAGCCTCTCTTTTAACAGAAAGAGACAATAAAAAGTAGAGTTAATAGATAACTGAAATTTGGCAGCAAAAGTTAATAGACTGCTAATTATATGTTAATGGAATTGCACAAACCTGTATCTTAGTAGTTTAAGAGAAATGAAGTTTTCTGCTGTTGCGTGTTATTTGTGTTTTAATGTACTTTGGTGTTCTCTAGAGACTTGGCATACAATAAGTTTCACTATATTATGGAATGTATTTATTTTTAGTCTGTGGGTGAAATGTAGAAACCAACGAAGTAGGAGATCACTTTTGGAAGACAACTGTAAATTTTAAACTAAAATAACACTTTGTCAAAAAGTCTAATTTGGCACTTAGAAAATCTGAATAATTCTTTGTTGTTGTCATCTGCAGTAGTGTGAAAATGAGAGAAGGAAATGGATTAAAGGACATAAACTTTTCTTTATCTAGTACCCACTGAAATAAGTATGGCAAAGCTTCCTTAGGGATGATATGTACAGAGTTCCTCTGAGGGTGGTTAGATACAGTTCTATTACATAGATACAATGATGTTTTGCATGCTCTTAGTAAAGAAGTAGCTCTCCATATCTGCAAATATACAAGTCCATTTTTCTGGGTTGTGTGGAACTTTCTAGGGAACTTAGCCAAAGAGCTAAGGTAGATATGGTATTAAAATAGAATAATGTTTTCAAGAATTTTTTTTCATATAGCTATGTACCATGGCTAGTTTAGGGTTTTTTTTTATGTTGATGAAAGAATATACTGAATTTGTATTCATGAAAATCAAGCTTGAAAATAAAGTATTTCTTAGTTTAACAATCATCTTTACATGTGATAGTTTTGCGATTTTTGTTTCAGAATAATACAACTTTTGTACAGTTTTTAATGAAACACTGCTTAAAATGTCAATCCATAGTAATGAAAAGTGTTGGAATGAAAAGTATTTTTATCATGCATAGTTTTGATAACTTAGATACTTTTTGCTTTTTATTCTTAAAGTGGTGTAGACAATTTGATGACTTTGCTGCTCTGGGATTATTGTATTCACTATGTATTTGCAGTGGCTTAAAGTACATTTCAGGTGTCATTAGCATTTTATAAATATGAAGATTAAAAGAAGTATGTATAGAATTGCAAAAAGTAACTCTGTAATACCACATTATATGTGACCTTGGAAACCCTTATCTCTACAGCACTGACTTGTTTGCTGCAAGATTGAATAGAGTTTAAAATATTCTATTCTCTCTTTGGTCATCTTATTTATCCATTTTGTCCACATTGTTTTGTCTTATAAGCCACCTGTTAAAGGTATTTTTTACCTGTTTGCAGTTTGGTGAAAAATACTAGCGTTGAAATTACATTATAAGTTTTTACAGTGTTACTTTTTAAAATATTTCCTAATTTTCAATATTCAAAATATGACTTTTTTTTTTCCTTTTTAGCATGCACTTACTGTTGTTGCTCCTGTTGAACATTCAGACTGAATGGAGTATTTGGCTTCAGGAGCTTTGTCTAAAAGAACTACTTTCAAATCTAGAATGTTTTAAGGTTTTTCTTCACTTTCTTTCAGATTTTTCTGTCATTTCTAGTGTTAATTTGATTTTATATTACATTATCAGAGGTTTTTTTAGAAAGGAGCTATAGATGTCTTTTGTATAATTATGTACATTAATATTTCTTTTCTCATTTTTTTCTTTGAATTTTTCAAGACAGTAGCCTGACTGTGAAGCACTTGACGTTTTTCTAAGAAATTTTTAGGCTGTGTTCAGTAACGCAGTAGTGTGTCTTTATTACCAACTTAATGCATTCTTGCTCTTAAACATTCTTTTTTTTGTGTACAGCTAATTGTCATTGAAGACTGAACTACTACAAATTTTCTTGTATTAAAATGAGAGATTCAAGAGTTTAAGCCCCAAATTCTAATTAAGCAGGTTAAAATTAATTTAATGAAACTGAAAATATAGGTATTACTAGGATCTTTTGCATTAGTAAGAAACTATATAGGTGCAATTTACTATTTCAAAATCTTGATGTTTAGGATTCCTGACCTTGTTGATTTCTTCTTTTTGAAGATCTAAATGTACATTGTAAGGTAGCACAAAAATAAATCTTCCACAAAATACATCCTTCAAGTATAATCATTTTACAAAGATACTGCTGAATAAATATCTATGTAAGCTACAATAATTAACTTAGTAAGATAGTACTACACAAAATATATTCACCTACTATAATCTAGGTTTCGTTTTTCTTTTTCTTTCATCCCTCCGCTTTCGTCTGCAGTCTTTTTCTATGTTACTCCGTGTTCAAGACTTTCATGGGAGGGAACTCAGGTTATCATTGGGCATAGCTGCCATTAATGTGCTACTGAGGTAATGAAGAAGAGTTGATAACTTGGTAAAGTAAGTTTCTTAGGAGGAAAATGTATGTTATATATAACTTTCCAGCTTGCTTTTAAGAAGCAATTTTTAAATGACTGTTCAGCTGCCCTCATATTAGTTACAGAGCAGGCAAATCTAAATGAAATATTAAATCTCTTTCCAATAAAGTACGTTTTCAGCCTTGATACTCTTGCATGTAGCTGGTGAAATGATGCAGCCTTTTAAGTACTCCACAGTATCCAAGTACTGAAGAGATGTTATGTAGTGTCTAGATTTCCTTTCTTTATTATGCAACTTGTCAACGATTTTCTGAATAATCGTTTTTGGTTTTAGTCTAATCTCCAAAGAAAAGGTTTATATGGTTTCTCTGTATGTCTCATTCCCCTAATTAGTTTCCACGTTGTTTGTTGGTTTGCAGAGAGATAGGGATCTCAGAGTTGTTATGTAATTCTAAATATGATACTGGGCAGAGACTCAAATTAGAGACTCAAGTATGGGGAACGATTGAAGAATGAGCTCTGCTGTATCAAGTATCAGAGAATCCACATGGAAGAAAATCATTACAAATGAAAGCCACAGGGAGTCAGGCTGCATGATTTTTATAGCTCAGGGAACAACTTGTATCTTTTGTTCTTGGGTTTTGATATGTACAGCACAACACTTTAATCAGCTACAATTCAGTTTCAACAGAACTAGTTGAATCGTGTGCTAGCTGTTTTTTACAGTGATTTGTAGCTTTATATCTCTGCGGATACAAACAACCACAACAAATTAAAACAGCAAACTGAATCTTATTAGCCTTAAGGAAAAACAATATTTTGCTTAGTAGCTTGAACTGTTTATGTATTTATAAGTAAGTTGTTCTAAAAATAATTTTTTCATGTAGAAAAATACAGTATTTTTCTATTTAAATGATTTTGCCAAAGTTTTAATGATGACTACTGAGGTGGAAGACAATCTGCTTCATTTCTAAACTATCTTCAATTACTAATAAAAATGTGTTATATGCTGTGACCTTTTAACAGTATCATTTCATGGAAATGAAAACAATTTAGATAGTTCTTTCAGGGTGAGAGAGAGTGAGGGGGAACATACCCCGTCTTATCAACTTCGTTAGTGTTTCATTTCTGACTGTACAACAGCTCATTATATGTTTATTATTAGTGCTTTCTTGTAGAAAGGTATTGGCTGTTTGTGTCTCTGCATGTCGATGACAATTGTTAGCTAGCAATTTGAACTGATTTGTACTAGACATTTGTGTATTTTGTTTTGCAGTGCATGTTAGTACTTGGCAAATGTCATCCACTTTTTACTTCTACTAGAATGGACAAACATCTGGGCATTCTTTAGAGAATAAGAGTCGTCTTCCTGTCCTGTTGCATTTGCTCTTTCTTGCTGGTTTAGAACTTGTAAGTTTTTCAGGAACTTGTTTTTAAACCATCATGAAAAAGAGAGTTTACTTATCTCTGCATCTTGCATCGCTTTATTATCTTTGTGCCATTAATGTGTTGGTATAAATTCAGCTGTGAACAAATAATGTACATATTTTAAACATACAAGGGGACATAACTGATTTTCAGCTGTGATAATGTATTTCATGTAATTTATGAGTTGAAATAGACTTTTAATAAACTAACAGAATCAAGGAAGTGTTATGAATTGGGTTTCTGCCTGAATTCCATCACGTTTATTCTGCCACAGCTGCTTTTTCTGAAGAGTTTCTTCCCCCCTCTGCCCCCCCTTTTTTTAATCTTATTTCATCTTGCCCCACTCTGTTTTTCGTCCTAATAATTTTTCAAAGCTGTTTATCAGTTCTAGATAACTGGTGTAGAGGGATGGATATTCCATATTTGCAAATTCTGTGAAGATAAATAGATAATGAAGAGAGAGAATGCCCCAAATAAGTGTATCCAGTAGAGGAGCCTGAGGCGTGATCCAAGCTGGGTGGCTGGGCATTAAAGAGTTCATGAAGAAGGCACGTGTCTGTAATAAAAGCCACAGGAAATCAGGGTTCATACCGCATCATTTTGTGATTGGTAGCCAGGGGCAATTAGATACAAATAAAATATGTGTTCATGATCGGAGGGACATAGACATTGCTTGGACAGAACAGGTCATGGTAGCCATATGCTCAAAGCAAGATAACTTTCAGCTTCTCTCTTCATAGAATGTAAACAGTAATCACTCTATTAGAAGAAAAATATCCAAGATATTTTGAAATGTTGTAAAGTCAGTTGCATAGTCTACTAATGGTGTATTTTCATCTTTAGAAAGGAGTCATTTAATGGAAAAGTGTGCCTTCTTATGTCGGGTTGTACTCACAGACATGTAAAAAACCGATACCTAAAAATGGTATGTTTGTTAGCAGAATAGTACTAGCAAATTTTCCAATTTCACTAAGCTAGGTACTGAGCGTTTTGCATTTTTTTTGTGATTGTTTTTTGTTTCAACTTGTTTGAATTTTTCCCACTGATTACATTTGAATCGTTTTCCTTAACGAAAACCTACAGCTTTGCTAAGAGTGCCCGAGACCAATATGAAAAATTGTCCAATATGCACAACAACATGACCAAGTTGTATGAAAACTTGGGAGAGTACTTCACCTTTGATCCCAAAGCAATAAGCATAGAAGAATTCTTTGGCGATCTCAGCAACTTCAGAAATCTGTTTTTGGTGAGCAAAGTCTGCAAAAAGAAAAAAAAAATATATATATATATATAATATCTATGTTTGAGTGTGTGTATGTGTAGATATATATATATATTTTGTTTCTTGGACTCTTCCAATTTTAATTCCCTCCTGTTCTGCCTTTATTTCCCGTGTTATAATTAGCTTTGTGTTTTGTTCCTATGACAGCAAACTAGGTGTCTCCAGACTTACTTTAGTTTTGGTCACTGATAACTACCATCTCTTCTTCCAGTCTGTAACCTGCAAACGTGAATGTCAATTTGATCAATCCATATGAGTAATAGGGTAGAAACTGTTTTCCTCAGTTTAAAAAAATAAAAAAAATTGCCTATTGTTAACGCACAACAAATACGCGATATCTGAAAGTCATTACAAAAACATGTTAAAGTCGAAACATGAATTGGCATGCTTACGTTCACATTCTGTTAGTCTGGTATCAGGCTTTAATGATGCTATTATGCTAAGGTTGAGGCTTTCATGATGAGATCTGTATTTCCGATATAATTTCTGAAGCTAATGTAGATGCTTATGTTACTACTGTCAGGCAGTATGGCTGACAGCAAAGTTTTCTTTTTTTCTTAATAAAGGAATTTAAGATAACTTCATTTTAAGCAGCTAAGTTTTTAAATGGATTTAATGTCATCTTTACCAGTGGCTGTCTGAGAGCCATAATCAGCTGCACCATAGGAAGTATATAGGGAAAACAGATGCTGGGAATGTCACACTGTATCTCTAGAGAATGTTAAAATCACTTTGAAATACCACTGTGTACTCCATTTACCATACAGCTGTAGCTCACAGATCTCTGTTTTGCCGGTAGTTGGCTTAATTTATCAAGTAACCATAAGGACTTTCAGTGTAGTAATGCCCAACTTTAACCTTGATTTTAGTGCATATAGTTTACTTTATTAGAAAGCTTTTGCTACAATATACTTAACTGTTCATTTTATATCGACTGAAATTGTTCTTTTTCTGTTAGCAAATAGCCAATTATTTTGTAATTAGTGAGTCTGCTAACACATCAGTGTGAAGACTTGTCAAGAACAGGAGTAGTTATCGTGAGCTATTTCAATGCATTTATTTTTTTCATAATTTAAAGGCTTAAGTTTTCAAATGTGGATATCTAAATTTAGAAATCCTGAGGTAGGTAATGCTGTTGTTACTTAACTAATAGAAACAGACTTCAAATTTGCAATATCCAAATATTGCTAATCTGCCTTCAACTTTGTGTTTAAACTGCTGTGATGGTGATAGAAGTTAGAAAGCAAATATTCAGGCTTTCTAGAAGACATAATAGAATGAAAAATCCTTCAAATTTTGCTTACATACTTTTATTTTCCTTCCTTTTGACTTCTTCAAGATCTGGCTTTCTAGTCAGAAAAATAATTCCGTAAGAGTGAAGTGCTGAATTTAGGGGCTGGCGGAGGAAAGGTGGTGCTAGTAACTCCTGTGTCAGAGATCTTCATTTTACAGCAGAAAGTAAACTTTTTACGCTTAATAAAACAAGATAAAATTTACATTACATTTGCACTTAGGAGTGAGTATTTGCCTTGGACTGCAAATGTAGACTATGCACTGTCAAGATTTTTTTTTTGTTTATTTTTAACTGTTAAGTTTATTTTTTTTCAAGCACTGAAATTGCTCTAGCAATCAGAATAAGAAAGGCGCTTGCTACTTTTGCAGATTACTGTTAATTATCATTCCCAATTTACACGTAATCCTCCAATTAATGTTATGTACATGTATATGATTCTTACTACTGCAAATATTTCTCCAAGGATATGGAAAAGTGGTGTAAACTGTAGAAACTACCATGATCGTTAAAACTGAGAAGTATTTATCCGGGTTTTATTTTCCAGAATCCTTCTGTGCTCTTTATATATGAGCGCAAAATACCTGTGTTTTTCTGATTACTGGATAGTGCTCAAAGCAGACAGTGTCACTTGTCTTGCTTTTTAATAGGAGGGGAAGAGGCTGTTGTGGAGATGTTCAGCTTGATTTTATCAGTACTTACCATTGGATTAGATTGAGATTAGGTAGTCCAGTTAAATCCTGTTCTTTAACTAAACTTCGTTTCAAGCAAGTAGTTTTTATATATTTTCAGTAAATTGCACTTACTCTTAGTTTTTTTTTTTCCAAAAGTAATAAATCTTTTGTATGTCATTTATATATTAAATCAATTTTAATTGACTTTTTCTTCTTCTTAAAACTTAGTTATAAACATTACCTATTATGACCATAAGAATCTAATTTCTGTGTGTATTTAAAATCTGAGTATCTACGTGAATCATTTTTGGATCAACTTATTCCATTGACTTTGCTTCTAAATCACTTCCTTGTCACTGAGAATCACAGAATCACAGAAGCATTTAGGTTGGAAGGGACCTCTGGAGATCATCTAGTCAAGCAGGGTCACCTAGAGCACATTACCCAGGATTGCATCAGACGGCTTTTGAATATCTCCAGGGAAGGAGACTCCACAACCACTCTGGGTAACATGTTCCAGTGCTCTGTCACCCTCACAGTCAAGAAGTTTTTCCTCATGTTCAGGTAGAACTTCCTGTGGTTCAGTTTGGGCCCGTTGCCTGTCCTCCTGTCACTGGCCACCATGGAGAAGAGTCTGGCCCCATCCTCTCAACACCTTTCCTTCAGACACTTACACACGTTGATCAGATCCCCCCTCAGTCTTCTCTTCTCCAGAATGAACAAGCCCAGCTCTCTCAGCCTGTCCTCATAGGAGAGATGCTTCAGTCACTTAATCATCTTAGTAGCCCTCCGCTGGACTTGCTCCTGGAGCTCCATGTCTCTCTTGTACTGGGGAGCCCAGAACTGGACACAGTACTCCAGGTGAAGCCTCCTCAGGGCTGAGTAGAGGGGGAAGATCACCTCCCTCGACCTGCTGTCCACCAGGACTCCCAGGTCCTTCTCCGCAGAGCTACTTCCAGCAGGTCAGCCCCCAGCCTGTCCTGGCGCATGGTGTTGTTTCTCCCCAGATGCAGGACCCTGTACTTCCTTCTCCTCTGTTGAATTTCAGGAGGTTCCTCTCTGCCCATCTCTCCAGCCTACTGAGGTCCGCCTGAACGGCAGCACAGCCCTTCGGTGTGTCAGTCACTCGTCCCAGTTTTATATCATCAGCAAACTCTGTCCTTTCATCCAAGTCACTGATGAATAAGTTAAACAATATTGGACGCAGTATTGACCCCTGGGGGACACCGCTAACTACAGGCCTCCCGCTAGACTTTGCACCACTGATCACAACCCTCTGAGCTCGGCCATCCAGCCAGTTCTCAATCCACCTCACTGTCTACTCATCCACCCTACACTTCCTGACCTTACCTAGGAGGATGTGATGGGAGACAGTGTCAAAAGCCTTGCTGAAGTCCAGGTAGACAACATCCACTGCTCTCCCCTCATCTACCTAGCCTTCTATGATGGGACAACTGGCTAAGCGTGAGGTTGGTCAAGCATGATTTCCCTTTGGTGCACCCATGCTGACTACTCCTGATCATCATCATGTGCTCCACATGCTTAGAGATGGCCTTCAGGAGGAGCTGTTCCATCACCTTTCCAGGGATGGAGGTGAGGCTGACAGGCCTGTAGTTTCCTGGCTCCTCCTCCTTGCCCTTTCTGAAGACTGGGGTGATGTTTGCTTTCTTCCAGTCCTCAGGCACCCCTCCTGATCTCCAGGACCTTCCAAAGATGATGGAGAGTGGCCTAGCAATGATGTCTGCTGGCTCCCTCAGCACTCGTGGGTGCATCCCATCAGGGCCCATGGACTTGCAGGTGTCAAGTTTGCCTAAATGATCTCTAACCTGATCCTCCTCAAGCAAGGGGAGAGTCTTCCTTTCTCCAGACTTTCTCCCTGGTCTGTGAGGTCAGGGATTCCTGAGGGCTGGCCTTAGCAGTGAAGACTGAGGCAAAGAAAGCGTTCAGTAACTCTGCCTTCTCCGTGTCTTCTGTTGCCAGAGTCCCTGCCTCATTCAGTAGGGTGCCCACATTCTCCCTAGTTTTCCTTTCGTTAATGATATATTTGAAGAATCCCTTCTTGTTGTCCTTGATATTTCTAGCCAGATTTAATTCCAAATGGGCCTTGGCCATCGTTGTCGTGTTTTTGCATACTCTGCCAACATCCCTATATTTATCTCAACTGGCATGTCCCTGCTTCCACCTCCTGTGGCACCTCCTGCTTCTGTTTGAATTTTGTCAGGAGTTCCTTGCTCATCCGTGCAGGTCTTCTGCCCCCTTTGCTCGATTTCTTGCTCATAGGAATGCACCATTCTTGAGTCTGGAGGAAGCGATTCTTGAATATTAACAAGCTCTCTTGGGCCCCTCTCCCTTCTAGGGTCCGATCCCATGGGGTTCTTCCAAGAAGGTCCAGAGGCCAGAGTTAGTTCTCCTGAAGTCCAGGGTTGCGATCCTACTTATTGCCTTGCTTCCTCCTCGCATGATCCCGAGCTTCACCATCTCATAGTCACTGCAGTTAGGGCTACGCACAACCTTCACATCCTCTATCAGTCATTCCTTGCTTTTTAGTGTGAGGTCCAGCAGCACACCTCTTCTTGTTGGCTCCTCCATCACCTATGTCAAAAAAAATTATCCTCAGTGCTTTCCAGGAATCTCCTAGATTGTTTGTGCCTTGCTGTGTTGTTCCTCTAGCAGATGTCAGGGTGTTTGAAGTCCCCCATGAGAACCAGAGCCTGTGATTGTGAGGCTAATTCCAGCTGTCTGTAAAAGGCCTCATCTGCTTCCTCCTCCTGGCGAGGTGGCCTGTAGTAAACACCCACAACAGGGTCACCCATGTTAGCCTGCCCTTTAATCCTTACCTATAAGCTCATCCTGACCTGTTCATCATCCACCCTGAGGCAGAGCTCCATACATTCCAGGTGTTCTCTCACATAAAAGGCAACTCCACCACCTCACCCTCCTGGCCTGTCTTTCCTAAAAAAGCATGTAGCCATTCACGATAACATTCCAGTCATACTAGC